CTCTAATTGACTTGCAGAGTTCAATCTTTGCCTCTGATATCTTCATTATTTCATTCATCTGTGCTGAGAAATCAGGTTCAAGAATTGGCTTTTCTCCATTAATCCATTCTTCATGATTGCTTCTGAACTCATATCTATTACAAGATAGAGACAAAATTCATATTTTCCTAAACATATTATAGGTAAATATCAAAATAAAAGGTATAATAAATTGAAGCATCCAACTTTACACATCACTCATCATGTTCACTTGCTCATCATGAATGTGAAAATCACAGAATACTATCATCATCCACAAGGTCAATAAATGCATATAATTAAGTATAAGGACACCTGGATCTGTCCAAAAAGCTGAGGATAACAATTATTTGGTTTACAATATGTATAATATATATTCACATAAATTATTTTTTTTAATTTTTTCAAGTTAAATATTAAAACTTCAAATAATTTTTATTTTTAATTTGTCAGATTGAGACGTCACTGGCCCCAGCGGCGCCTAGCCTCTCCGCTGAAGAGGGCAGGCCAGAACACAGGGGGCCAGGGCCCAAACATGGCCACCCCACCGGGCAAGAGAGCAAGCCAGCAGGGGCTGTATCCATGTCGCGTAGAGCAGCATGGCTGCATAGGCTGCGGGATCTCGCGCACGCGCCCAAGGGCCCCAGGCCCCAGGCCCCAGCACAGGGTCTTTCCGCACGCGCCCAAGGGCCCCAGGCCCCAGCGCGGGGTGTTTCTATAAATACAGATCTTAGTGTATGCCCAAAGAAGGAGGTCACTAAAAGAAACCCTAGGGGAAGACATTACAAGAAAAAAACACGTTACTAAAAAAAGCAAAAAAACATAGAAAAAGGGTGGGGCAGCAAAACCTATACTAGTCGCCGCAACCCTTCACATTGTAACTTGTGACAGACTTTCACCCCAGAATAAATGGATCATAGATCAGTTGATGCAGCATGAGAAGTGTTCACATGTTATTGCAATCAAGGCTTACATGGCCTTAAACATTATAACAAAAACATGGTCTTTGTTTGGGTCTTATAGGTCTGCAGCAGAAGACCAAAGCATATAAAGAGTTTGACTTTGATTCCAGAGAACAGCTACTTTATACGGAAGGTTATCTGTTTGAAATTTATAGCAATGACCTCAAGTTGGTAGGAAGATGACTAAGTAATGGCCTTTCTTGGAAAGTTTAGGTGCTCTTCTAACATTGGTATCTTAGCAGCCAAGCCTAATGCATTGAAAAACATACATAATTTGGTTGAGAACCCATGTTCAGCAAGTCCATCTACATTGGTCTTCTAGATCTTGACCAGATTATCTTTATCAAGACGAAGCCTTGTTTCTTGCAGGATGAGGGGAAATAGCAGATTCAATACGTACCTTTAGCTCCACAGAATATGAGACTTCTATTAACAGTATATTCAGAGTATTGATCATAATTTGAAGATAGAAACAATTTATATTTCCGTTACTTCTTGGCTTTCCATATGCTTCTCTTTTATCATATATATTCTTTAGAGCTGTTATTTATTATATAAGACCATATACAAGAATCACTACTGCTGACCATTAGAACCTGCTTTCACAACCCGCACACCTCTTTCACATCTAATCATCTCTCAGCAGTCAATATTACTGTCCTACATAAATTCCTTTCGCATAAATTGGATTCAGAAACTACTTTCTTGAATTCAGTCATTTCTAGTAATGATTTTTCCATCTAAATACTAACTACACCTGATTAGAACCCATAAATACATTTTATAAGTCACAAGCAACTGTTGGTCAATATCCCAAAGTTCTCCTAGCTCAGAAGTGGAGAGACCTAACCTAACCATCTTATAATTTCTCTATTTTTTATCTGATAATTTCTCTCGTTAACTACAAACCCAAATCAAAGTATGTTGAATTCATTGTTGGAGACAACTATCAGAAAAAAAAGTTAAAAGAGTTCCAAAACTTATATTGAAATTTGAACACGCAGAAGGTATTAGTATACACTTCTCACAAGGACCATGTACATAAATATGATCTATAATGATACCACATCCATATGCATATGCATACATATGATTTATAACGATACCACCTCCACCCTAAGGAACCAAAAGATTGGATGAAAACAGCTATTCAGAAACTAATTTAGATTGGTTTTCCCATCAAATAAAAGAAAGGAGAAGAAAGAGCAAAGTCCTATGATGATACAAT